ATCCCTTACTTTCGGAAACTCCCATGTTTGCCCTGGCGACAGAGAGGGAGGGAGAGAGACCAAGAGACAGTGATAAAGACAGGACGAAGAAGGAAGCGCAAGAGTTCCAACATGTTTACTTCCAAGGCCTGATGCAGGCGAGCAGGATGCCCTGCAGACATCGCCGCTCGGGTTAATTCAGCGCCAGATGTGTGGATTGCGGCATCGCTTCCTCAAGAGTCAGCACACACACCGCTTGCAGCGACGTGCTTCGCCTCCTGGAGCCACACCGCATGCTTTCGGATTCAGGTTCGGGCAGCGATTGCAATCCTTCTTATCGCAGCTGCCTGACGCAGAGACGCGCCCAGGCCTGAGAGCGCACACGGGGACATAGGGCTCCTCGGCTTTTTTGGCACGGGATTTGGGATCCGAGGCTTTCCCGAGCACGAGGACGGCATGGCTTCAACACACGAGTCGAGCGAGTTGCGCTGCTGCAAGTGTCAGACAGGAGTGCAGTGAGCTTCGAGTATGTGGCTTAGTTTCAAAACGCCTTAGAGCCTTAGACCCTACCAGGATCCGTTGCCATCTTTTGCCCTTGCGTCAGGCAGAGCTTTACAGGCTGAAGAAGCAGACCAGCGAGGCCCGGTGCGAATCGGTTCTGGGCGAAGAGAAGAAAATTGTGGCAAAAGTAGGGATAATGACAGCCATGGCTTTTGGCATCATGGCTGTGATGCGAGGAGCTAGCAGTGAATAGGCTTTCCAATGCTTTCCAATTGTGATCCGGATGTGTGCAGTATAGATTCTTCTCGTGCCTCGTAGCACACGACAACAAACAGGGAATAAGGCAGCATCCTGAAGAACGTAACATTTAATCATACCCGGCGCAGAGCCTTTAAGAGAAAGGTCCTTCAAGAGATCACCAACATGAAGCTGGACCTTCGCCGGAAGGATGCAACAATCCTTGAGGCTTGCAGTTTTCCGAGGGTTCTGCAATCGATTCCATGCCGACCTGACTTGCAGTTGGGCCGGCAAGCAGGAGCTCTTAAGCGCGCTTCCCAGCGAATCAGAATGGAACTTCTGCAGCCAACATCACTTGATGAGTCGACCACAACCCCATCCCCCACCATGTGGGTGGAGGTCCTCGAACGCCTGGCGTTCAGTGCGCAGAGCTTCTTTGGTAGATGAGGCTTGCGGGGGCTGTTGGACGGGAATGTAAGTGCTGGTGTGCGATCACCGCCACTGTCAAGTACCGTGAGTGAGCATTTCCTCACCCATCACTGATGCGTGTTCCGTTTCGGTGGAGCAGCAGTCGGGAAAAGGGCAGGTTTCGCTGCACCACCCAGATCCCAAAGGTCCCAAAACTGCACAGCGCGAGGCACGCAAATCGGCGGGGCTCCGAAGCTTCAAAGATTGGCCAAGGATGGGCAGCTTCACGAGTCATCTAGCTCGTTGCACGATGTTCACCACTGGGCTGAAGGAAGCCAGAAAGGCCGCTGACAAGAGGTTGGGAAGCTTTGCCCTTCCGGATTGTCGCGTGGTCTTCGTGATCTGCTGCGAGGTGGGCCGGCCGAAGTCACAACTTGCAGTGGTTCGTGCTTCACTCGGCGTCCACTGCGCACAGAGACATGATGCGAAGTGGTGAAGCATCAGGCAGTCGCCTCTATGCAAGCTGCAGACTACAAGGCACAGCTGCGACCAGTTGTATATACTCGGAAAGTCGTTTGCATGTGGATGCAGGAGCGGGAAGTCGATGCTTTCAAGACAATGTCTCGGACCCCATGTCGATGTGACCACACTATGGCCCAGTGGCTTCCGCTGAGGCACACGAGCGCCTACTACAGTCCTCAGGACCCGCATACACCTACGACTCACATAACGTCTCATCCAGTTTGCTTGGGCCTGCGAGGACACATGCAACTCTGCTGAGAGCCAGACCTACATCTGCCGACGGCTTCGCAGCGGGGTGCCCAGATAATGTGAGGGTTGTTCTATACCTATGCAAAGGCGAATATGTAGGACTGGTTAGACAGCTCGCGACATCTCCACGAAACAAGGCACGGAAGCAATAGGTTCAGTCATCTTCGTTGGCTGCAGGCTCGTTGGGCCCGGGCTTTAAGGACGCCGCCCAAGTATTGGAATGCCCAAGCAGCCAGGCCAACCTCGGTCCTCGGGCCCTAAGCCCGGCCTTCAGTTGCACCCCATGAGTCCCGAACCCTGGCTCAGGTCTGTAGATGCTGACCAAACCTTCAAACTAAACTCCATGCGAAGAAGATGCCGGACGTTTCACTAGGAATGCGAAGTCTTCTCATGCTGGCTCTGCGACAGCAGCCACGAAAGTGACAAACTTGGTCGGTCCAGTTTTTCTTTTCGTTTCCGACGAAGGGAGTTGAACAGTCTCAGTGAAGGTACATTTATAGTGTGGATCATGAATCATGAACCATTCAAAGACGATGAAAGCTGCATCCACCACCGCGTTCTTGACTGGTGGTGTGAGGCTGCACCTGCTTCGCACGCATGGAAAGCCTTTTCACAGGTTCTACGAAGTGTGCCTACCAGGAGTAGGAGCGAGAAAGTTTCTCTTTTGTATCATTGTCGTACAATCCATTTGGCTGCCCTTGTGGTCCCATGGCTTGGTATTGAGACACTAAGCCTCAGGCCCACTGCGATGGACAAGCTCAAGGCGTCGGCTTCCGGAATTTCACTCTTTTGCAACATCGCAGACCCTACAGCAGACCCACAGACAGTCGAAAGTATGTGACGGCTATCGCGGTCGTTATTCACAGAATTATCAGTAGTTGTAGTTGTTGTTGTTGCTGTTGTTGTTGTTGTTGCGATATGGTCGGCGTTACAGCGTTCTCGGAACTGTTATTGACCTCACTATCGCGGTTAGGTTTATTCATGAGTGTGGGCAGGTGCTGTGCCTACCTATCAGGGAAATATGAGGGGACTCACTAAGTAGGTCATAATTCAGATTTCGGGGAAGAGCACGAGGACCGGATTCGCAGAACGTAGAAGTCACAGCTTCTGTTGATAGCCTCTGGCTTAAGTCTCCCTAATCCTTTTCAGTGTTGCCACATGTCAGAAGGCTCGCCTATTCGGACAAGGCGACCGGCCCCTGAGCCAGGGGAGGCCTGGGAAGAGATTGACTGGGGATCGCATTAGATTCCAGACATCTTGCAGCTGTTTCCTTACATCTCATCAGGGCTGGGTGGTTCTGCGAGGGACGAGGGATAGCCACTTCTTGTGAAGGAGAATTAAACAGGGATCGAGTTTTGAGCAGCTGCATTGTTCCCGTGTGTTGGAGGGTGGGGGCAGAACTTCCTTGATCATTAGAATCCTGTAAGGAGGCCGCTGCAAGTTGTCGAAACCGAGTAAAGAAACCTAGCCGCTAACCTGGAGGATGGAAACGCGAAGCTTCCTGGGCCGACAGCGCGGGTTTGCATTCAGCCTCTCGGCATAGCCACGAAAGAGCCATCCTCCTTAGCTCTCCAGATTCTGGGCGAGGCGCCTTCGCGGCTCCAGACTCCTTCACCCCGTGAGACTCTCCCCGGTGCAGGCAGAGGGCTTTCAGCTTTGATTTAGGGAGGCAACTGCAGAACCGCGCAGGCCGCATCTGCAAATGCGCTGCGTCACGGTGTTCGCAGAGGACAGCTAGCACATGTCTCCAGAGCCTCCTCCAGACGCGAAATGACAGGCGGCACCACGCCACCAGCAGAGGCGAGGTGCAGAAACTCAATTCCCGCAGCTCGCAGTCGCGTTGCAAAGGCGCATCCCCGTCCCAGTGCACCGAGGGAGCTGCCTGCCTGTGAGTTTGAAGCCAAGCCGAGTGTAGTAGATTCCGGGATACGTTGGCCTGGGCCTGGGTGCTTGATGGTACATGATCTGCTCTGCCTTTGCTCAGAAGAGACTTAGACATCACGATTGATTGATTGATGATTGATTCATTGATTGATTGAGTGAGTGAGTGAGTGATTGACTGAGTGATTGACTGATTGACTCACTGACTGATTGATTGATTGATCGATTGATTGGGTGGCTGTCCACAAGTTTCCCGTGCAATAATTCCCATCTGCGGGAATTTGTTGTCAGACGTGTCATGAAGATGAACTAAGTACTGTAGAAGTTCGTCCATGAGTTCAAACAGCACGCTCAGACCTCCTTTTTCAAGCGGAAGTGCTCGTGCTCACAAAATTTGGGTATGGCACCACCGAGAGTCATATACATCAAGAGTCGGCACATGCTCAAAAATCGAAGCTGTGCCGCTGTCGACTTCTTGCGACACCTACTTGTACTTGTAGTTGAGGCATGCAGAAGATGCGGAGTGCCCTGCGAAAACGGTGACCAAGCAGGCAGGGAAGGGGCCTATAACAACTATCAGTTGCTTAGATTCTTGTTCCAGCTCGTTTGCTAGATGCTGCGGCCGCACCCTGAAGATTCCGAAGGCGGGACACGGATTCCGCTGTTGAACCCCGATCTAAGTGAGACAGATGCAGGCAGCACAAGCACATCCTGCAGCGAGGAGGACAGCCCGGATCACAGCTTCGCCTCCAAGTTTGTTGACGGCTCCCGATGTAGCAGTGTGGCAGCTGCTGAATCCATGAATGGGAGCCTTTGCATCGTCTCGGAGTCTGTTGAGGTGAGACTGACGAGGCCCGCTGCAGGAGGCCTGCTGTTGAAAGGCCGATGCATGCTGGCTGCTGCGGAGCATGCTTGCTCTAGAGGCATTGCAGTCATCAAGTCAAGCCGCAACATGCCCTGAGCTCAAGCTGTCATGAAGTTTATATCATCACCACTCGATTGCGGAAGGATTGCACGTCACTTGAGGAGTACTTGCTCAAGCTGGACTTGACTCTTGTCTCCAAGCATATGGCCACCTCTGTACTTGAAGGCCAGAGTTGGGATGTCCAGAGGCACAAAGTGTTCTGCCCGTTTGAGAAGGTATGGAAGCCAGCCGACCCCACAGAAGACAGCTTCCATGCAACCCGGCTTCCTAACGCTTGGCTTTGAGGTGCTACAGTCCCTCAAACTCCCAGAGGGAGACCCCCTGTGGCCCGGATCTCAGAATTCAATCCTCACAAAAACTGCGGGAACTGTCGCTTGTGCTTGGGCAGGCTTGGTGGTGCTCTTCGGAGGCCCTGAAGCGCCCGAAGGGAAATCCCCCCCTCAAACCGAAAGCCTCTTGTGCAGCGCAGGTCATGGCACCGGCTTCTGCCCGGGGCCGTGCTCCTGGTCCCACTGGCACTGGCCCTGTGGTTCCGTCCCCAGCTTATAGCGAAGAGAAACATTTGAAGCAAGACCCGGCCTTAGGATGAACTCTGGAGCCGGCGACGAGAATCTCGAAGCTTGTGCCCTTACCCATGGATCAACGAAACTGCACATGCTTTTCTTCTAAAGCTTCGAGTCGGATGATACAGACCAACATGTAAATTTCGGGTAGTACTGTAGGCTTCAGCAATGACATCGAAACCACGGCATGAGGTATCATGCAAACCAGCCCTTGATAGTACGCAGCTGGAGACGCTCGGCTTCATCCGCTCACCCAACTGTTCCTCCTGGACCGAAACTAAACAAGCAATGTTTCAAGAACCTTTTGGATTCTCTCGTTCCTCGAGACCACGAAGACCAACTAAGCAGACGAACAGATGGATTCAAAGTTCGTCTGGATCTTGCTTTCAGCGTCGTAGTTGCCAGAGAGGTATGTGCTGGAGATGGTGACACCTCGAACAGCTGTTGCCTTGGAAAGGAGTTCAGGAATCAGAAGTCAGAGAGTGGTGGTCTGGCATGCACGCGATCAGGGATTGCACCAGTAGGACATCAACTTCGAGACATCGTCTGCATCGACATAGCACTCTTAGGCCTCGAAGGGCACTTGTTTTCGGCGACATTTGGCTGTCGCATCTGTGCCGCATCCATCGCTCAGTGTCGCATGTGCGACTGGTACCAGAAGCAAAAAGATCAGTAGTGCTGTATCGAGCTCTTACCCGGCCAAGTGTCGTATTGTGATCCCTCCTTCGCTCCGGCAGCTTCCTTCACTCGGACGGACGTGGGACCCCAACACGGCATGGTAATAACACCCTTACAGCCCAAAACTGTATGGTTATGGTTATAGTGGAAGGTATCCTGTTCAAGCTACCTGACAAGAGAAGTCCGGCCAAGCGAGGCTGTGTCGCTTCATCCGAATTTGGAGGTCGCGCCCTGCTCTGACAGTGCAATCTAGGTATCTTCGAGTTTGCTCTATTGTCACTACGATGAGCAGGACTATTGTGTGTATGTGTTCTCATGTTCGGTATTGTCGTTAGCATCACTGTTGCTGTCATTGTTCCTCTCAGCATGGTCATGGTGATCGACCCAACTAGCAGTATTCTGATTTGTTTTCAGTGTCGCTGTCAGTTTCAGCTTTGTTCTCGTCAATAGCATGCGGACTTTCTGTTGTGAACTCGATTGCTGTTGTTCTTGTTGTTACAAGTACTAGCATTCTCCCTTGGCAGGTCGCGGAAGTGGAAAGCCCCCTTTTGCTCCTGCGACCTCCGCCCGGATCTCAAGAATTAATACTAATAATAATAACAATAATAACAATAATAATAATAATTTGTTTGTTCAAGAGCTGGCTGCCATGGCTTTCATCGTCAGTTCCTTCCCGAAGGTGCGACGACACTCCGAAAGAAGGAGGCGCGAGAAGACTTGGGGTGGAGCAGGGCAAGAATTCACGTAACTTTCGATCCGAAGCCGGAACGGAACGGAGACTTCCAGCCTGGGCTCGAACCGGATCTCC